AGTGGGTGATTCGTACGTCCCCCTTTTAAGATGCGTACATATAACAAGAGGAGACAATGAGACCGTCAGTGTTAGATATGACAAACCCCATTACGCATCGGTCAACAAGTTGTTCATCACGGACATAGCCGTAGAATTAAAGGACGACCAAAACTGTGAAATACCATTTTCTTACGGGAAAGTCGTTGTAAAACTACACTTTAGGCCAGTGAAACAATCTGTGCTTTAAAAATGGCTTATTACAACCCACGAGGGATGAACACCGCTGACTATGTCGAGTATTATCGAAACCAGGCGGGGGGTGGTCTACCCGGATATGCTGGAGGAGCCGTTATGTACGGATCTGGCCTAGGAGGACTTTTCAGAGCCCTGTTTAGGATGGCAGTGCCATTGTTAAAAAGGGGGTTCAGCATCGCTAAACCACACCTAAAATCGGCAGCTAAAAATATAGCAGCCGACGTTGTCTCAAACGCTCTGTCAAGATCGTATAACGGTGGTCCTAACGCTCAAGGCGGTTCGGGGCTTATGGTCATGGCACGTAAGAGAACGTCTAAACCACCAGGTATAAGGAGGCGTGGTCATTCAATAAAGAAAACAAAGCGCGCCCCCAAGAAGATCTCAGTCGCACGCAGAAAGCGTAAGAAGGCTGTGAAACGACACGTTGCTGTTAAAAGATCCGTAAAAACCATATTCTAGCATGGCACTACTGCACCGTATGTCGGGAGAGTGTATTAAGTCCGAGTTGGATTTGTTCACAGTCCCGCTGACGCAGACGGTTATAGAGAAAAACGCCTATTTAGAAGTACCGCCTTTATCGGCTATATCGGACTCATCGCCTTTGGAGTTTTTTATCGCGGGGACCGGGGAAGATTACATCGACCTAAATAACACGTTGGTGTTTCTACGTCTTAAAATCACAAGACCTAATGGGGGTGACATCCCAGATCCAGCAAAGGTAGCCCTAATAAATTACCCCGGAGCTACTATATTTTCACAAGTCGACGTCAGTCTCGGCGATCGCCTGATATCTCAGAGTTCGAGCACTTACCCTTACCGATGTATCGTCGAGAGTCTTCTCAACTATAGCAAAGATGCGCTGGAATCGCTTTTCTCGGCAGGTCTGTTTTTCAAAGACACGGCGGGTCACATGGATGAAACCGATCCTGTGGGGCGTAACGCAGGGCTGACCAAGAGATCGCTCTACACTACCGGGAGCAAGGTTGTGGAGCTGCTGGCCCCTATTCACAGTGATATTTTCTTTCAAGAAAAATTAATGCTAAACGGCGTCGACATAAAAATACGAATGATCAGAGGCAAAGACGAATTCTGTCTGATGAGCGACGATGCCTATAAATTAAATATAGTGTCGGCCTCCCTTTTTGTCAAGAAAGTATCCGTATCACCATCCGTGAGACTGGCACATGCCCAGGCGTTGCTCTCAACCACTGCCAAGTACCCCATAGATAGGGTATGCCTAAAAATTTTCTCCATACCTGCTGGATCCCGAGTATCAAATCAGGAAAATTTGTTTTTGGGGACGTTACCAAAATCTATCGTCCTGGCTATGGTGGATAACGATGCGTTCAGCGGATCCTACGAGAAAAACCCGTTCACGTTCAAACATTACGATTTGGAGTTCCTGGCCGTCTACGTAGATGGACAGCAATTTCCCGCCAAACCTCTCCAGCCAGACTTTACCTCAGGATCTGCCGTACGCGAATTTTATCAGTTGGCGACCGCGACCGCGACCGGGAGACATCTTAAAAATCAGCCCCTCTCTATCAACAGGGATGATTTTCTGAAAGGCTACTCGCTTTACGCCTTTAACCTCACGCCTGACGAAGACTGCGGTCAGCACATATCGCTCATCAAGTCCGGGAATATCAGACTCGAAGCGCGCTTCAGACAACCGTTACCTCATACTATTAATCTCGTCGTTTACGCAGTGTTTGACAGTATCATCGAAGTGTCTAACCGCAGACAGGTTCTGGTCGATTACTACTGAACAGAAAATGAACACGGTGCAACTCACAGCTATCATGGACAAAATTTCGTGTAACACTCATTTTCTCGGAGTTCTTCCGAGCGATCAGCTGCCTGAAAGACCGTTAAGGACCTTTCCGGCCATGTCTATCATTAACACACACCCTTCGAACATGCCTGGTGAACACTGGATCGCCGCTTATTTAACTCGAGAGGGTTCCGGATGTTTTTTCGATAGCTTCGGCAACGCTCCTGACTACGAACGCTTTCCAGTCACCATCAAAAACTTTTTAATAGCCAACGCCCCCATAGTGTTATATTCTACCAAACGGGTTCAGGATTTTACATCGGATGCGTGCGGGCATCACTGTGTGTTTTTCCTATATCACCTAGCGAGGGGTCGAGACTATAACTACGTGATGAATTTGTACAGCGATGATTATATTAAAAATGATAAAATGGTGTCGCTCTTTGTCAAAAGACTTGGATCTATTGCTTGTAATGAAAAAATGTCGTCTTGTTTAACGATCGTCAAAAACCTTGTTAGGATGTTTGAGTAAAGTTTGGCTTTTTCACGTTGATCCATATCGGTCCTGAGTAAAATATTTCTTATGGCCGTATCCAGATCGTTCTCTACGACCTGTTGAATGTTCTCACGAGCGGTTCCGGAATTCAACATCTCCAGCTGGTTCTGGGGGACAAGATACATCTTCTCG